GAAAAACAAAGTAAAGAACAACAACAACAAAAAACGATTAATCGATTATTAAATTAGTCATCGATTATTTTAATAATCTATTAATCGTCGATTAATCGTGGCAGCCCTAGTCATCATTGTGTATAAYATCTCAATTTATAGGCTTTGTTCCACAAATTACTTAGTACTTAGTTTTTGAAAACTAGAGGACTTTATTCTTAATAGTGGACTTAAAACTGAATTCACTTGAAACACATGAAACACTTCATTTTTGACACAAAAAGCTAAATGCTGTTTATCTTTCAAATAATCACTTCCTGACTAAAAGAAAGGTACAGCATCCAGTTTAAAGCATGGCAGGTGTTTGTCTTTTTATTTGCAGAGCTACAAGATTGGAGTTTTAATTACAGACTTTTCTTAGTTTAAAAATAAAATGAGGAAAAACACTGCGTGGCAATGTCAGTCTGTAGAATTAATGGCGACACCGCCGGCTAAAACAGTATAACAACTTTAAATGCAGTGCTAATATATGAAGAACAGTCTATGCTTTTTACTCATCAGCACTAAATGTGACAGGAGACCTGTTTACAGAAATAATTAGCGTGGTTTATGTCAGCTTGTTAGCGTTAGCGTTTCGGAAACTGTTATGAAATGCTCAAGCATAAAAAGCAGGAGAAACACGGACCGCAAACGCACCACAGTTTTTCTCTTGTTGTTATCATACCTGTTCTGCAAAACGGTACAGCCAGGACTCAGTAAATTATTGTTTAGGAGAGACTTAGCTGAAGGACGTCCAAACCTAGTCAGCGACCTCAACATTGTCGCCGCCATCTTGCCTGTTTTCCTTCTTCTCCTTCTTCTTCTTTTGAATTAATGGCGGATCGCAAACATCTTTTAGGTGCATACCGCCACCTACTGTGCGTGAGTGTGTAACCTCACGGTTACACCTAAATCCTATATTATAGTTTTGCATTGTGTAAAAATAAAAACAATGCTTTCCTTATTTTCCCAATTTTCTCCTTATTCCCTTCTGTTCCCATTATCCCTTTTAAACTCCACTCTTTCCCTGCCTCTCTTACTTTTTCCCTCATCCTCTCTCTCTCAGCTGTGTACTTTGTCATCAGGACGTGTTCCATATTTTCTTTCTCTCCACAACTCTCACAATTATCATCAGCCCTTTTCCCTATTAAATATAAAAAGTCATTTAAATAGGAATGCACCATTAGTCTCATAATAATTACATCCTCTCTCCTATTTCTTTCTATTAATTTCTGTATTTTTACTGAGTTTTGAATTCTATATAATTTTCTTCCTTTTTTATCCTCATTCCATTTTTTTTTTTGCCATATTTCTGTTTCTTTCTCTCTGATTACTGATTTGCCTTCACCTTTTCCAAATGTGATAGGGACAGTTATTTGTCCTCCCAAAGCCTTTTTTGCTARTTTATCTGCAATTTCATTTCCCTTCACCCCCTCRTGTGCTGGTACCCAACAAAAAGGAATGTCTATACCTCCCCTGTGTATCCTGAACAAACTTTGATGTATTTCTAATATAAGATCTTTCCTACAATTTCTTTTAGATTTTAAACTTTCAATGGCTGCCTTTGAATCTGTGCAAATAACCACTCTGTC